CACGCAGACGCAGGTGTGGAGTGTAGGGCTGGGCCGCCGCAGCTACTACCTGTGCACTAGCCGACTAGCGACGCAGCAAGCGCCAAGCGCCAAGCGGTGCCGGCGAGTTGGAGCGCCGAGCGCGTGTGCAGGCACTGGCGGCAGCAGCGTATGATGGGCCGTGTTGATGTACATGTCGCAGAACGAGAACAACAAACGAAACAAGGGCGCGCAACAAACCTGGGCCGCCGCTATCGGACTGGACTGGATCGATGATGGACCGGGCTTAATCGCGTCGCAGGAACCACATGCTTCCATTGCCAACGTTTGATTCGGGTTACATACCACGCGCTGTCTACATGCAAGCACGGTTGTCCGACAATAAATTTTCGGTAATGCTACAGATGAGGGCGTCTGGACGTCACGTCGTTCACTTATTGTATATTTAATACTCCAGGCTGCCTTCCAAAATAAAATAATCCCATTCCGCAAGCTGTCAGCCTCAAGCCGCACACACGTTCTACTACTGCTAGATCCAGTCCACTCCCACTCTCCCTAAGTCCTGCAGTCAATTCAAAGCACCGCTCGCCGATGTCGTCTCCGCCCCACTCAGTCGAGGTCCGAAGCCCCGACGACTCGTCGTCGCCCACCGCCACTCTCCTCTCCTCCTCCGTGACCGCACCCCATCCCTCATTTGCCCCCCCCCCCCGCCTCCTGCTCCTGCTCCTCCTCACCATGGCCCTTGCCGCCGCCACGGCCTTTGTCTTGCTCCGCCCGCCCCTCACTGTCGTGACCACAGCATCCGCTACCACACGGCTGCTCTCCAAGCTCCCCCAAGCCCATGGTGTTGCTCATATCCTCGGATGGCTTCCGCTACAGATACCAGTACAAGGTCCCTCTCCCGCACATCCGCCGCCTCATCACCGCCGTCGGCACCGTCGTTCACCTCATCACCTCCTCTTGCGGCTAGAGATGGCAAGGGCATCCTACCCGTGCTGTACTTCGCAACCGCGTCGATGCTCGCTAGACATGGTGGTCGCTGTCCACTAGAGTGTCGCGTTTGACATGTTGCAAGCTTATGTTTCAAGTGTTTTGGGGTTTCATATGTATGTTGCAAGTGTTTCATGTGGATGTTGCAAAAGTAGATCGGGATGTTGCAATGGCTATACACGTATGTAGTAAGCGTCTGTTCTAAATGTTTCATCTGTTTTTTCATACGTATGTTGCAAATGTGTTTGGATGTTGCATATGTTTCACACATTGCAAGTATTTTTATCTTGATGTTGCATATGCTTTACAATAGCTTTTCAAGTGTTTCAGGTTCTTCTGCAAGTGTTTCAGAAGCATGTTTCAAGTGTTTCATCTTTCTTGTGATGTATGTTGCAAATGTTTCATCTGCATGTTTCAAAAGTAGACCGGGTGTTGCATCCTCCTCCTCGCCTTCTCCTGTCGTGCCTCGGTGTCTCCTCCTCCTCCCAGTGTCGGCTGGGCATCCGCTGCCCCTCCCCCTCTTCTCGATGCTCTAAATGTTTCAGCTGTTTCAGACGCATGTTTCATGTGTGTTCATCTGGATGTTGTAATGACTATACATGTATGTTTCAAGAGTATACTGCATATGTTGCAACGGTCGGACAGATGTTGCAGAGGAGATGAGACGTTAGGACGAATGAAGGGGCGCGACCGAGACAGAGCGCAGCGGATGACGGGGGCGTGACGGATGACGGGGGTGTGGCGGGGATGGCGCCGCGGCGGGGGTGTGGTGGGGCAGCTAGGATGGGATCGAGTCGCGGGTGGCCGGACGCGATCGCTGGCGCGAGATGCGTCGCAGCCAGCCGGACGTGATTCATTGGCGCGGGATCTGATGCGAGTGCAGGGGCATCCGATGCGGCGGGGGTGTGGTGGGCAGCTAGGATGGGATCGAGTCGTGGGTGGCCGAACGCGATCGCTGGCGCGAGATGCGTCGCAGCCAACCGGACGCGATTCATTGGCGCGGGATCTGATGCGAGTGCAGGGGCGTCCGATGCGGCGCGGGTGCAGGTGTCAGAGGCGAACGTCCGGATGTCTGAGAGCTAGCCACGCCGATAAATCTTTGACCACCGAACTATTAATACAGGACAAACACAAACACGTAGCTCATTTCAATGGCCAACGATTCCTTGTTCTTGTTTCAATGGTCAAAAATAGATTATCCCTTTTTTTCCTAATCGTGCGACGAGATTCCGCTGAACTATATATATACCCTCAATTTTCACGAGCTCAGCTGGAAAGGTCAGATGTCTAATTTTTAAGTCCCGTTGATTTGAATATATAGAGTTGAAAATTTTGAACCAGCTCAACATGCTCACAAACGACAAAGTCCATTTTCATATGGGCCGGGCTGCACATGCCCACAATGCCCATACTTATTATTGCTGTATAGGTGCGATGGGTTTTATTCCCGTACGAAATATTGATAGAAGATTGAATCAACTTAAATGGGTAAATGTTTTATGCACCTATTGTGAGATCAAAAGAGGTAGAAGACGAGGCAAAACAACATTCAAAGTGGTTAATTGGTTTATCTTTATGATATGACAAAAGCAACATATTCCGATACTTGCTAATTGATGTGTTTGGCTAAGTTATCTTTTATGAACACTACTCCTCTGCTACGATACCATAAAAGAACCTTGATTCTTAATAGGGCTTTTTACTTTTCGTCAAGGGTCTGTTTAGATTTGGGATATCTATTATATATTAGTGCTTGGTAGTGAGGTTTCATTGTCCATTTGGATTAAACAACGACGACAACAACAACATAGTCTTTCAGTCCCAAGCAAGTTAGGGTAGGCTAGAGTTGAAACCCACCAAGAGCCCCAAGTCACGGTTCAGCCACTTCAATAGCTGATTTCCAAGTACTCCTATTCAAACATATAGGTATATCCCAAGCTTTCAAATCTCTTTTTATTGCCTCACCCATGTCAATTTCGGTCTTCCTCTACCCTCTTCTCATATTATTAGCTTGACTTAGGACTCCACAATGCACTGGTGCCTCTGAAAATCTCCTTTGGATATGGCCAAACCACCTCAACCAATGTTTTTAATTGGTGCTACCTCTAGGCGATCACGTATATCATCGTTCCGAACTCGGTCCATTCTTGTGTGACCGTAAATCCATCGCAATATACGCATTTATGCAACACTCAGTTGTTGAACATGTCGAATCTTTGTAGGCCAACATTCTGCTCCATACAACATAGCTGGTTTAATCGCCGTTCTATAGAACTTGCTTTTTAGCTTTTGTGGTACCCTCTTGTCACAGAGAATGCCAGAAGCTTGTCGCCACTTGATCCACCCTGCTTTGATTCTATGTCTAACGTCCGCATCAATATCTCCATTCTTCTGTACCATCGATCCCAGATACCGAAATGTATCATTCTTAGGCACTACTTGACCTTCCAAACTCACATCTCCCTCCTCCTGTACAACTCCACCAAAGTCGCATCTCATGTATTCGGTTTTAGTTTTGCTCAATCTAAAATCTTTAGATTCAAGAGTCTGTCGCCATAACTCTAATTTCATATTTACTTCCGCATAGCTTTTGGATTAAAGTTCCAGCGAAACTCATTCGGGTCTTGATCCAAAGCAATAATAGTAGTGCATGGTAACATATTGTTTCATGACGAGGCATGCATATTGTTACTTCTTAAGTGACACAAAGCCTTGTTGAATCTGTTGTTAAAAAAAAAAAAGCCTTGTTGAATCTTTCCAAGTCCAGGATGCCTAGACCACCGAACTGAACTGAACTGGCTTGGCTACAAAGGTCCATCCCACCTTGCACTTGACACCAGAAATTTCGTTGTCCGTAGCCCAAAGAAAACAGTGGCGAGCCTTGTCTAGGTCCTCGAGCAGCTGCTTCGCGGAGCCTTGAGGGAGGTCAGAAAGTAAATTGGAATTGGAATGGCCGACGACGACGAGGGATTGAGTCAGGTTGCTGGCTGCTTTCAAGTGAGATGAGAGTAAGGTGAATAGCAGCGACAGAGGTGGTGTCTCCTGAATCACTGGAGAGGGTTCTTGTTCGATCCTTGTTGCAGTCCTTCACTGATTCCTTGATCGAATGCTTGCGAGTGCCCGGCGCCCGCACCCCGGCACGACTGGCGACCTGGACCAAGGACACGACGGAGCTGAAGCTCAACCTGTCGCTGGTAGCGGAGGCGTTCCTGCAGCTGCTCGCGTCGGGGCTCGGTGCGCTCGCCCTCGTCTGGGCCACCGTCGTCCTGCTGGGCGGCTTCTCCACCATGCTCGGGACAATGGATTTCTGGTTCACTGCGGCCGTCGTCTTCGTAGAAACAGCCAGGTACGTAATATAAATTAAATTAGAGTGATTTCTTTTCTTTATTACGCTCAACCATAGTGCCCACACAAACTAAACTCGATCGATCCACCATCCATCTCGGGCTAAGATCTCGATCTCTATCTCTATCTCTACAACTAAAACATACGAATTGTCAACGTCTACCCGGTAGGACCAAACACCCCTCAACACATGTCTACCTGGCAGCACCAAAAACTTTTCATATAATCGTTTCCCTACCGTCGCAATTAATCTCTACATACTATATTTATACTTATTATTATAACTAAAACATATGAATTATCAATGTTATCCGGCAGAACCAAACATCCCTCAACACAGATCCACCCGGCAGCATAAAAAACTTTTCATATAATCGGTTCTCAACCAGCGCAGTTAAAGAAAAGAAATCCAAAATACCTCCGGTTTTTTTTTCACTAAAGACTAAAACGTGTACAATGTTTTGGTGCGACGATCGTCGCCTCGCGTCGTTGGTCTGCCCCCTGCGACCCCCCGCCTGCTTTCACCTCGCTTCCCCGTGCGATAGCTAGCCCGGCAGAAAAGGAAACCGCCATCCGCGTCGCTCCCCCGCGATTCACGCAGCCGACGCGCCGCCCATCCCCATGCCCGAGAAGCCTGCCCAGCCCCGCCCCTCACGCTCCTCCGGATTGCCCTGTGGGAGGAAGACATGGCGGCCAATGACGCTGCGGGTGGGGAGATTGACGGCTCCGCCGTCATTCAGAGGATGGCGGAGATTCGCGAGGCCATCCCCAATCCCTGCTCGGTCAAGGACCCATGGCGCCTGGTAGGTTTTCTGTCCCTCTCTCTTCTGTTGGAGCTTTAGAAGTTATAGTGATGTTGCTTCCCGATGAGTTGTGCCTGATGGTTCCCCCCCGTTGGTGAAGACAGACGAGGCCACGGCGCCGGCCAAGGTGAGTTCCGTCCTTCTTCCTCCTGTGGCTGCCTGCCTTTGCCAGAGCCTTGCACCGTCCTCGCCATCGCGGGCGCCCCCGTCGTCCTCACCGGCGAGTTCAAAGGTAGCGCTATCCCTGGACACCCACGTCAAGGTCGACCAATTAGGCCTACAGTTTGGTCGATGCCAAAGGTTTGCTCTCTGTCCTGATTTCCCCATCTCTTATTCTGCCTTCATGTGTTCAGATTGCTTAGTCTACAGGCTGCGTACAACGTGTTTGTACACATGCCTATGACCCTGTTTGGTAGTTGAATGATTTTATTCACCTAGCTTCGATTTGTAATATCTTTCTTGTGTGCTTGTTTGTAAATGGACAATTGTAATTTCTTTCATCTGTAAATTTATTTAGGTCATCTGCGACCATGCTTCTTCCACAAGCACCGGCAGCCATCACTTTGTACAGATCGCTTCACAAGCTCAACCACAAGTCATCAAATGGCCAGGCAAATCTGATCCCTCTCCCATCCGTGTATCGGCCAGTGCAAAGACAAGGTTTTTTCTTTGTGCCATGGAAGAAAAAACCTTGTCAAATTGTCTGAACTGAGTCCTCAAATCCTCTGCCCTCTATTCGAGGTCGTTCAGGTAAGGCGAGGTTCTATACTCCCATGTTCGCTTGGCCTTTTTTCGCTCAGTGATAGATAGTGCTGGGAGCTGATGCAGAGCTCTTAATATGTTCTTTCAGGAAAGGTGGAGCCAGCCAGCTGCCACTGTGACCCATCAGCCCCAATAGAGAAGCCCGTTCAAGCATGTCATCCAATGTGATTCACAGACGCAACAACAGATTGACTCATTTGTGCTCTCGGCAGGAAGGCAATTGGGGAGGAGCACGGTGCGCAAGATTGGACAGCGAATCTTAGTTGTCGCAGCGGCCTCTTAACTATTTTGGCTAATAAGGTTTGATGCAGCATGCTTTTAGGCATGATCTGCACAAGGCAATGCTCCCTGGGACAGCAAAATTATTCTGTCAACGTGAGGATCATCTCAGGTAAAGTTTTTTCTTGAATTCTATTTGGTTAATTTCCCAATAGAGGTTGTGTTTGCAAACACTAAAGAAATTTCAGTGCACTGGAAATAAGGAAGTAGTATGTTTTCCATGTATATTTTAATCATTGACCATTTTTTATGCATCTCACAAAAGCTAGCATTGACTATTGTCCTTGCAAACTGTAATTTCGCTATCCTCTATTTATCTCACTTGATTTGTCAATCAAGTGTCTATGCTTTATGAACCATAATGATAACATCAGTTTATTGGTTCAGTTGGGTGCTGCTGGTGCAAGCATATTAAGGTTAATTTGTCTGTAATTTTAAACCCTAAAATTACCAACTTAAATTATTCTTCCTTTGTGTGTGCTTTTTTTCATTAAACATTATTCTTCCTTTGTGTTTGTTAGTTCTTTAAATACTTTGCTTGAGTTGTGATAAGTTGATGATAGTAATTGGAATGGAAGCACAAAAGTTTCTTTAGCTGGACTGTGCTAAGTTTTATGGAAAAATCTTTCTAGAGATGTGATGTTATCTATCATGGCAAAAGAAACAATTAAGGATTAAACAAAGGTATGTTATCTAAAATAAACTTGCTCAAGCTTTCAGACTTGCAGTAAAATGAAACACTTTTTTTAAGGTGGCCTTTGTATTCTTCTTTATGCCCTTGAGTTCAGCTATAACGCAATGTTGATACTAGGTGCAAAGAGGAATAATCTGCAAACTGTAGTGACTGACTATGCAAATATCTCTTCTCTACAACTAAAAAATTTCTACGGTCAACATTGTAACAGAACCGACCAAATCATAAGAACGTAAGTACAAAAACAATCACCGAAGCGATCAAATTCCTGTACTTAAGCTCCCATAATCCCGGTAGTTCGGAAATCACGAAGGATTTCAACCAACTCTCGACATACAAACCAAGATCGTAGTGATTCAACACAACACATCATTCGTTACAACATTTCACAAGTAGCATTCAATTACATCCATCGAGTTCAAATAACATATTACAAACAAAGTTTGAGTGTGCGGAAAGCAACATAGTTTAGTACAAAAAACATCATAGTTTTCAAATACATTGCCAAGTCCGAGTCATGTCCCACAAAAGCATTATCAGTGCGAGAACTAGTAGAGACCGCATACCCAACGGTCTAGTCTTCATCCCAACTGTGAGAAGGCGTGACTTGCAAAGAACCAAAGTAGAATTGGTCATCCGCAATGGTGGGAGATAAACCCTAAGTACGAGAAGGTACTCACTAGACTTACCCGTCAAAACCGTAAATAAAAGACACCAAGCGTCATGCAAGGCTTATGAGGTGGGCTAGCTTGACACGCTTACATAAAAGAGCTTATGATTATAGTAATCAATTTAAACTTAGCATCAAGCTTATCATCATTTACCCCATCCACTAGATTTGCACTGTACTAGAGCACTCACTTATTAGGAGCAATCAATATTAACCATAGCAGTATATAATAAGGTTTGTCATCATCATATCATCATTTCCGAACCATTAGGTTATTTAGTGTATCTACTTTGGAGATAAGCCCACAAGTTCTCACTAACCGGAGAGACGACGACTTCGAATCGAATTACAACTCAAATGAGGGGTATTCCTAACTCTCGCCTGCATACTTAGCAAGGGTAGCCGTGGGTCACCTTTGGAACAACTCGAAACCAAATTGCGGGTTCGATCAACAAAGACCTCTCGGGATTACCCTTACGCCAGACGATCGGGACTTTTAAATCACCGTCCTTGGACTCACGCCTCGGCTCCCTTCCGAGGCGCACTTTATACTTATCGACTCCGGCACGAGGTGAGCTACTCGGCTTCGCATGGTCGGTCATCGGACACTGACCAACTAAGAGAGAGGCATGCATTCAACATGAACAGGAAAGGCTCCAAGATTCAGTCCTTAATCGACACACAGCATTTTAGTCACTTTAAACCGCAAGCCTCCGTCCGGGTCTTCATTTCAAATTAAGATGGTTCTTTTCCACGATAGCAAATATAGCAAACCGTGCCATATGTATCTTCCTATATCTCGCAGTGACAGAAATCACCGACTTCTACCGTGTTTAAGCGAGGGCTAAGCAATACACGAGCTTTGAGCTACATAGGATTCGTGGTATTAATATCTGGACAAGGATTGGATAACCAATGCGACAAGTGTTTGCATCCAACACCTAAACTTAATGCAACAATATATATATGTAACAATAATATCAGAATCGCATTTCGAAAATTAGGAGGCTTAATATGCTCCGGGGCTTGCCTTTCACAAAGTTGCACGGACGGTGATCCGGGCACTCAACTGCGACCTCGTCTGGCACCTCTCTCTCAAGATCAGACTCCTGTACCTCCGTGTGTCCGGCTCTTCTGCTCGCTCGGTTCCTCGAATTCCAGCAGTGTTACTCCCTCTGGTACACCTATTGCATGTCGATGCACGAGATAAATATCATGGATGCATAAGGAATGACATGATGCTCATGATGAATGAATCACAGTAAATGTTTAACGAAAACATCACTGGACACCCGTTTACCGAGTAAAATAGCTCTATTCAAATCACTTTAAGCATGTATCTAACTTAACTTAAAGAACAAGATCAACTTACCTAACTTGCATAACCTAAGATAAAGATGCTCATCTTCAGTTAAAGGCCTAACACATAGGAACATTACTACAAACTTAGAAATAGTAAAGGCATACATAAATTATCATTTAAAGTTTCATATGCACACAAGTACTCCCTTAATTTAATCATAACCAGAGTTCTATAAATTCAAATGACTTGCAAGATGACATTCTGGAAAGCTTATGAAATTCTCTACAAATTATTTGTAAACATCAAAGCATGATTCTTACGTTAACCAAACCGAATTTCAGTAAACCTAGAATCTGTCCAGAAACGATAGGGTCGCTAAATTAAATATTTAGTGATGATGTAAAAGCCTAATTGGATCAAACCAAGTTTACCAATTTGTTGCACATACCAAAGGAATATCAGAAAGTATAGTGCCAACCTCTAAATAAATTATTTAATGCCCTTTTCTAATTTATTTAGTTAATTAGGTGATTAAAGCAATTTATAGTAAAACTGTTTACAAAAATCTACAAAAATTACAGTAGCTATTTCATGCTTCACATAGACTACCATAAAAATTTCAAAGCCATTGGGTAAGCAGAACTTGCTGTATCCAAAATAACAGGTGGCATGTCTATTTTTAGCATAATTAGGAAACTCTATTGAAAAGTGTCAAGCAACAGATTTCTTATTTTTTTCTAGTATCATTCTAGCATAAGAATAGCACTCACCAATTTTTACCCAAACTGGATCTATAGAAAAATTATGAAAATTCACTCAAGATCCACTCATGCAAACAAGATAATTTTCTATCTCCTACATACAATGTCCAAAATACATAAAAATTTAACTACAAGCTATTCATGATATGAGCAATACACCATAAAAATTTCATGCCATTTCGAGCTACCTAGAAAAAGATACAATTACCTCTATTTTTGGCATGATTAAAAGAGATAAATAGAAACTCCAATTTTCATAACAGAACATGGCATGGATTATATTTTTAATAGAAACTAGACATTATCATGAACTTAACAAAATTAGAACCACCTCATTTGAATCTATCAACTAGGAGATACATATTTTTGAATATCTATACAAATATGTGAAAAGAATAAAACAAAAACACATTTGAAAACCTATCAACTACTGGTGGGCCGGCCCGAAGAAACGGCGGCCCGCGAAGCAAGCGCTGGCGCGGCCCAGCCAGGCTCCCGCCTGCGTGCGTCAGCAACTGACGTGCGGGTCCCACGCGACAGAGAGACAGGCAGGGGAGGAGAACAGGGCGGCGGCGAAGCTCATCGTCGGTGACTCTTCCGGCGAACCCAACGGTGCTACGGCGTTCACCACATCAGTGCACATCTAGCAGTGCCCTCAATCGAAGCTATTGTCGCAGCTAGTGGGGGTGGCGACGGCCACGGCGGCGCGTGGCCACGGCATGGTCGGCTCCGGCGAGACGATGGCGTCGCAGACCTAAAGAATGACCCTACGAGCATCAGTGGTATTCACTGGACCTAGCGCAAGGGAGAGAAGAGGATGTGAGGGTCACGGTGGCGGTTGTCCGCGTGGAGCAACAACGCCGGCGAGGTCAGCCATGGCGGTGGTGGAAGGAAACGGCGATTTCGCCCTTACCAAGGCACAATTGGATCGACGGTGAGGTGGAGGTAGAGATCACTGCGAGGCTAGGAGCGAGATGGCCGACACATTTTTGCAGCGACGAGCGTGCACGACGACGGCGACGCTCGGTCGGGAGTGGCGGACGGCTGTGGCTCGGCGCTGCGCGCGGAGAAGGCGAGAGGGAAGCGAATGGGGCTGGCGAGTGCGTCGGGCAGGCACTGGCCCTCTTCTAGAGCGCGGACGCGTGACGTGGTGGCGTCGGCAGAGCATGCACGCCACGCGGCGATCCTCTCCTGAGCCGGTCGGCCATGGCGACACTGACCGGTTTTTGAAAATGGCGATTCAGTGTTCGATGACTATGACTGACAACGAGTATTCATCGTGTCAACACGGCTAAACCAATGACCTTTGCAAAAACTGTGTACATGAAAAATGTAGGTCAACCATCCATCTACAACTTCTTTTCAAGGACCATGATCTAATTCGCCATGGATCAGCAGTTACATCAAGCCAAAGTGGGCTTGATCCAACTGAAAATATAGTTATGACTTAGAATATTTTCT